TTGACAGGACACATTTATTTACATGGATATTCTCAAGGAATCTTGCCGTGTAATTCTTAGGAAAATAAATGTCTTGGTTCCTGCACTCTGAGCTGGGCAGTCATTGCTTAACTAATTAACAGAAATTTCATGCAGAATTGGGAAGATATGCTTCTGAGTATGCTACTGCATAGATCTGTGCCAAAGGTTTAGACAGAAATGTGGACTCACCCGGATTAGCAGTGCCAGACTGTGACAAGTTAAATTTCAACACTTCCAGGTCATCTTGGCAGATGCTCATATACTGATGTCATGCAGTCATGATGTAAGTCATAAGGAGTGGTGTTTTGCAATAGAGAGATTCTGGTAACCCTCCCCATGAGTGTGGGTTGCGGGATATCAATATTTACATCATCCCACAGGAAGCATGTTACATTTTTTAATGCGGAGAACTTGGGTGGCTTACTCATAGTATTCTGCATAGATGGATTGTCCTGTGTTCAACATCAAAAGCTTAAGTGGCTGATGCTTGTCTTGTTATTTTCTTAAGATGTTTTTTCAATTAAATATAATGAATGGAAATCTTATTGACGTCACCAAAATGACATGTCGGAATTAAAGGATTAGATCTGTATTGTGCGAGAAAACACTAATAGATGAACTATGTTACAATTTCATCCTCTTTAAATCTTATGAAAAGAAGATTATATAAAAACATTAATTTGGGGAAAGAAGAGACAATGACAAGCAATTGTAATTCTATTTTTGTAAATTTACTGTCTGGGGTATGGCTGATACTACAGTGTTTGGCCTCACATCTGTCTCTAAAATGCAAAACAATGAAGAACTCATGAATATTGATAACTTAAGAATAGATTGTGTTCTCAAAGAATTGAAGGCTAGAAAAAGGGAGGAGAGACAATGGAGTATGAAAGAAATTGATGAGCCATGTGGTGGCCAGTTTGATTTACTTAAGATGCCAGAAACATGCATCATTTCTAAAAAATCCACCTGTCTGAACAATCCATTGAGTGATAGATGGAAAGTGTGGCTCTGATGCAGGGTCTTCACTGGTAGGGACTTACAGGGTCTTTTTGCATAGATGAAATGAAAGAGCTGAAACAACAGCCAGATCATCGGGCATTTATTAATTCTCTCACTTACCAGAAATTCCTTCCTGCAAACTCCAGCATGATTTTGTATAGCAGACTATATAAGTGCACTGTATATCATATTCTTAAATTTCTATACAAGTCTCATTGAGTGGATTTTATATTGTGAATAATATTGTTCCACAGGTGAAAAAATCTGAATCTCCATTGATATTCATTTGGGTTAACATTTTGTTGTAGCAACGTGGGAATTTTAATTCTTCATCTGATGTTGTTCTGATTTCAACTATATTGTGTTTACAATTGGACAAGTATTTATAGACAGTAAATATTTTATAAGCTTTAGGTTATTACCTTTCCACAGTCTAGCATTAATTCCTCTTTCATTGGGAGGCAGACCTTAATTAATTAAAGGCAGTCCTATGTTGGTGCTTCCTGGACTCTCCCCAGCTGTTTTACATCTTTTTGAAATCCTCAGAAAGATCATAGCTTTCTAGGTGCGGTCCTTGGAGTCACTGGAAGGAACCTTCCCTCCTGACTCCTGGGTATGATGTAACCTTTGCACACTGTGTGAGGACAGGCAGAAAGTGCTGATTTGCAAGTCATCTGCATGAAATTCCTTCCGTAGGAAAAACAAAGCAGGTGAAGTACCTTCTCCTCAAAGGAAAGCAGACTGTAAAGTTTTGTTTAGGAGTGAATGAATATTTATAACTAAGTAATGAATGGCTTGTTGTTGACTAGACTTCTTCTAAGAATACTCAAATTTGATCCTCTATGAATGAAAAATCGCTTTGGTCATGTATTTATAATAAAAGTCCATAAGTTTTAGATAGCATATAAAAAAGAAACATGGTAGCAATTATTATTCTTTAATTTTATTTCGTACTTACTTTAAAAATAAATTATTTTGTACAAATCCAACACTAAAATACACATCTAAGACAATATTCAGTGGTATATTTGGGGGTTAAAGGTGGGGAGGATAACCTCAGTTGCAGATATGAAATCTTTTTCTTCTCTGACTAAAATTTTAGAGCTACAAAGGCTTTGTAAGAAAATGAAACAAAACCTCAAAGAAATTAAGGGACCTGCAGAAGACTCTTCAAACTACGTAGGAAAAATATAATAAAAGAGAGAAGGACCATGATACTTATTTCTATCATTGATCCATTATTTCTCTCTATGTGCAAATCTGTTACCAAGTATTCAGAAATGATAAGGAAGGTTTCCATATGTTGTTGGCTGTTTAAAAAAATTCCTATGTCCGATTCTTCAGTTTCTACTTCAGGGTTAATTGGAGATTTATATTCCTTAGGAGAATTCTAGGATTTCTATCCAAACAAATGGTCTCCAGGTGGTAATTCTGCTGGTATTGGGAGGAAGTGGTGAATAAAAGCCTTCGGGGACCAATGAGTGGAGCACAGAGTTTGTAATCCATGTAGAAATAGAGATGCTTTGCCTACTTTGCAGTTGACATCCAGATAGTTTTCAGTCCTCAGAAGCTCTTTAGCTTATTCCATGTTTCACAGATAAACATTGCATGGTACAGTCACAAGCTGGGCATGAGTTTGCCTTGGACATGTCATTTTCTTTTCAAGGGTTTAAATAAAAGATATATGTGTGGTTCACTAGAGGTGCCATAATATTGATCTCATCCTCAGAGTTGACATCACATTCTTGTAGATACTGTAAAAGCAGCATATCTGAGATTAGGTCCATTGAGTGAGTAAACTTGAGAAGCTCCATCCAGGTGCTACAGAAAGCTAGGTAGCAAGTACATGAAGAATCCAACCTTGACATTGCTTTAGCTTTGCTATCTTGCTGATAATTATTCCCATGAAAACTTATATATGACATGGTCAGAGGCATGAAATTCAGTCTTTCTACAGTGAGAACAAAATCCACACAATAAGAGCAAACCCTGAGTAGGACTATGAACTTGACTTTCATCACTGTGGCTTGGTCACTGGATTCCATGGCCCCCTAAAGATGGAAAAGTTTAAAGACCAACGTTGAATTTTATCCTCTCATTTCATTGTGATCCCAACTTCCATTATTTTCAAGTCTAGTCAGTTTGGCAAGTTTTGTTATTTCATTTGAAGATTTCAGTTTGGGGTCCACTGATTTTTACAAACGCCTTGATGACAATTCCTTACAGTGGTCTCCCTCCATAACAGATGTAAGGTGATTTCAATTTTAGACACCTAAAACAGAGCATTGGTTTCCATGACTGCTCTTTGTGTAGATCATTGTGGATTATGTAAATGTGCTGGTGTAGCAACTACTCTTGTGCTCCACCCACATCCCCCTTCCCCACTGGTGGCCACAGTGCGGCTGTAGGCACTAACAGATCCATGGAAGTGTCTTCTGCAGAGGATAGCCCATAAGCAACAGCACACCTTGCCAGAAAGTTGCTGGCCGATTACAAGTCTGTACCCCCACCTGCCATGAGCATCCTGTGTCCCATGATTATAAATGGTGTGAAAAAACAAGACTGCACATGTTCTGATGCCATTCACATTCTAGAGCTCCCTGTGGAACTGGACTGATGCTACATGTCAGCTAAGGCCACCTCTTTGCTTAGCTCCTTACTCTGCTCTGCCAGCTTTCTTTACCTCATCACAGCTCTCATCTTAGAGCCCTCCCTCAACCAACACATGCTCCGTAGTCCCCATCTCTGGCTCTGCTTCTAGTGAGCCTGACCTCAGACAGCTAAATTACGCTCAGAGTCCTTCCTCCTTTATCTCCTCCTCTACCTCTTTAGTATTATTTCTATGTTTTGCCTTTTAAGCAAATCTTCAACTGATGAAATAGAGATTTGATTCCCTCCAGGATGTAGTAGTTAAGCAAAGCAAACTTATCTAATTTTTTCCTAGGCAGTTTCGGTCATTTAAAAATGACAACTTGGAAAAGTATAGCAAGGGAAATATTTTTTTTTTTGTATTTCTATTGATGCATCTCACATTACTTCTTGAAATTCCCAAAGTTCCATTTATTTAAGAAAAAATTACAAGGCCAGCATTGTAGTATAGCAGGTCAAGCCTCAGCCTGCAACATCAGCAAGACCCAGCTGCTCCACTTCCTACCCAGCTCCCTGCTAATACATCTGGGAAGGCAGCAGAGATGGCCCAAGTCCTTGGCCCTTGCACCCATATGAGAGACCTGGAAGATGCTCTGGGCTCCTGGTTTCAGCTTGGCCCAACTCCAGCCATTGCAGTCATTTGGGGAGTGAACCAGCAGATGGAATCTCTGAGTGTGCGTGTGTGTGTGTGTGTGTTTGTGTCTCCTCCTGTCTTTGTAACTCTTTCAAATAAATAAAAAAATAAATATTTAAAAAAAATTACTGTAGAGTGGGAAAACAACAGATTAGGATGAATATGTAAGTAAATTATATTTCTTGGTAGATGAAATTTATTTTCATGGGCTTTTAGCAGTATACAATGCCTTCTGAATACACCCCTAATTAATGTCTGGGAACAAAAATGGCCTATGTTTTTCACACACTTTCATTCATTTACTACTCATTTCTTGATTTTTTTACTTAATAATCTTAACTCAGTGTGTATTGCGTGCTAAGCATGGTAGTGGGCTCTGAAAACACAACTGTGAACATATTTAACCCCCAGTACCTGGATACCTACTATCCTCCTCCTTTATAATTATGACAGAAGCAGACAGAGGTAAGGTGAAGGGAAATTGTAGGTGTAAATTAACTTGTTGCAAAATGAATGTGAAATTTTACAACATGTCTGAGACTGAGAAAAGCCATCAAATAAGTTATTTAAGGACTTGCTAGATTTATAGCCCTTTTTTCATTAAAAAAAAGATATATATCAATGTGTGGGACATTGTAGGGGCTCAACAAACATTTGTGACTCTATGACTTCATATTTTGCTTGTTTTGCATACCTTTTTCTTATGTAGCAGTAAAAAATAGCAAGAAAACCACTTAATAGCAATCCAACACCAATCCCAATTGCAATGTATTTTTCATAAGAATCCACAGCATATGAAGTTAAGGTCAAGTGTTCACACCTTTCTCCAGTATAACCAGTGAAACACCTTTTTAAAAAAAGAAAAGAATGCATAATTTTAAATCCCAGAATGTTAGAAATACAAAGAAATGAACCATTTCAAAGAGTGAAAAAAATTTCAATAAAAGTAAATAATTTAAAGAACAAATGCCAAATTAAAGTTTGTTTAAAGCAATGAAGTAGCTATGAAATTTGCAGTAATCATTCCTACCTTCCCCATTGGTAGATATATTCTACCACTCTTTTAAGAGAAGATGCTTAGTAAACCAATGATCATAAAAATGTTTTCTTAGTTGTTCTAGAAATTTACATTCTTGAATGTTTTTTGCTGTAGCATTTCCTTTCATCGTACAAAAAATCCTGTGAAGATAAGGAATTACTTTTGCGCACTGTTAGAAATGCAGATTGGTTCAGAAGTACTAGGTGGAGCATGGAGTTCTGTATTTCTACCAAGCTCCCAGGTTGCACAGATGCTGCCAGTCTGGAACTTTATTTTTGAGTAATGAGGGTTAAGCAGCTTAGAAAAAGATTCCTGAGGTATCAAGTCCAAAGAGGTCTGGCAAGTCATGGTCAGATGATGCCTCTTTCTTGCTAGATAAGGAGTGTGGAAACATACCATAGGAAGTGATAGAGGCATAAATTCACCTGTCTCTAGGACTTAGAAAGTTCTTTGCCATTACCTGCAGATGACTTTCTCTAACTCATGGTGGAATAGGCAAACACCATTGATGCAGTAACTATCATGCTCTTCCAGGCAAGGGTGGGAGAACTTCAAGGCCATGAGTCCTTCTCTAAAGTCAGCTAGGAAAAGGAGACACAATATCAATAGGTGAACTTGTCCTGTGTAGACAAAATTTTAAAATATGTGGAAAGAAGTCTTATATATTTTGGGGGTGATTAGACCTTGGAACTATTGATTCCCTTGGCAGATTGGCGATATTTACAAAAGCTGGGTAAATGTCATCTAGACATCTCATTAATTAATTTGAGGGTGGAGGCAGCTCCGGTGGTTGATCCATTCTTTTGAAGCTACATAGCAAGGTCCAGAGACAATTGTGCCATAAGGTGGCAGCACTGGTTTTAGTCTTTGCTTATTTGAGCAATATTTCTGGACTATGTGCTAATAAATACAGCCGATCTCAGCCAAACTCTTCATTTCCTCCCAGGAGAAGTCAGCACATAGAAAGATTTGAACTTACACTTGGGGAAAAGTAAACTACATTTTTCATCCCTCCCCAGAGGACAGAACTGTAAGAATTCCCTTTTACTCTTTTGTGAACTACCAAGAGCAATTTGAGAAGGGAGCATTTTCTCCCACTTCAGAGGACAGATTGTTCTGACCTTCACAAGAATCCAGAGACAATGGTTTAGACATAACACAGATAAGACAGTATCTGTGAATATTAATTAAAAACATACTCAGTTGAGAAGCTCTGTGGGCAAAGTGCTGAACTTGAAATTAGGAAACTTTTTTTTTTATTTTTAACTCTAACACTATGATAGTGATAACAATAAATTAGCAAAATTTTGTAATCAAGTGTCCAGAAACTTCCTAGGGGAAACCTTCATGAAAGATTGTGTTCTGGCGAAATACTGATGTTTCAGGATGATTATTCCTGGTCTCTGATGTACTGAAAACACATTTGTAACATACTTGGTGTTTATGAAGTTACAGGCGATACTTAGAAAGACGTGAGTACTTGATTCCTTTTAGTAAACTTTAATTACTGAGTTTCAAGTTTTTCCTCCAGCAGAATTAGTGGCATTTTGCTTTGTCTTTATTACAAATAAGCATAGATTCTCATTGTGAGTTGTGCTATACCATATCATGCCTTGCTAAGGAGACTGAGAAAAATCTACTTCTCTGCTTGTAGGTAGAAGAAACCTAAAAAGCTTTCTTTCTTATACTGCAAATGTTACATCTTTGGGTACTAAGGTGCCAACAAGATATTACCTTGTGTCATTTCATTTTAGCTGAAAACACATTGTGGTATCTTAAAATTTGCATTCATGTTGTTGAATGAGATGTGGTGAGTATAATTTATCATTTTAATAATTCCAGGGCAGTGAGAATTTCCTATTATAACTGTGCTAGGCTATCCTTTCTTCAAGACTGAACAAGTTCAATTAACCAAGCCTGAACCAAGATTTGTTAGAAAATGTGAGAATAGAAAGAAACCGTTTCCAAAGAGATCCATACTAGACAGACATATATTTCCTCTAGGGAGAAGAATATTAATAAACTTTATGAACATTTTTAAAAATACTGGATATGGATACATAAGTTAAATAAAAAGAAGAAGGAAAAACTAAAGTCTTTCATCAAGAAAGCAAAGGAAAACTATAGAAATGAGGTGCTCAATCCTTTTTATTTTCTATTAGCTGTAACATGGAGAAGTTACCTCTGATTCACCATCAGGGAAGAGAAGTGAGTGTGCTAGTGCTAGGCATATTGCACAGTCAGCCTCTGAGAGTAAATGTACTTATTTGCTACAATATCATTGTATTCTACTAAAGAAGTTTCCTCTTGGATTCAGAAGACAGAAAGAAGTTGACACATTGCTTTTGTCTTACAAATTGATATTCAAAAAAAAATCAAATGTTAAAATATTTTGTTAACTATTGAAAATTTAGGGGCCTTAGTTGTGACATAGCATGTTAAGCCACTGTCTGCAGTGAGTGCCAGCACCCCATATGGATGCCAGTTCAAATCTCGGCTGCTCCACTTCCAATCCAGCTCCCTGCTAATGTGCTTGGGAAAGCAGCAGAAGATGGTCCAAGTGCTTGGGCCCCTGCATCCATGTGGGAGACCTGGAAGAAGCTCCTGGCTTCTGGCTTTGGACCAGCCCTGCTCCAGCTGTTGTGGTCATTTGGGGAGTGAACAGGCAGATGGAAGATCTCTCACTCCTGATCTCCCTCTTTCTCTCTGCAACTTTGACTTTCAAATAATAAAATAAATTAAAAAAAAGAAACAAATAAAAAAGAAAATTTAAAATTGATGGTGAAATTAGAACTATCTAAATATTACTATCTTTCATATTCAGAAATAAAATAGTTGACTGAATCCTTCACTTGCCTGACTCTTAGATTTTTGCCTGGAAATCTTACCCACTCAGTCACACATCTTCATAGATAATAAGCTTTCCAAGTTCCCCTCTAGCAGTTCAAACTCATTTGAAAAAAGTACTGACTTTCAACCACAGTCAGAAGCCTTTGTCATGAGAATAGTAAAATGAAAGAGAAAATATATTCTCACTGTCCACAGTGAAAAGGGGTACACACGGATAGGAAATAGAGCATATACCAAACAAAAAACAGATGCCTCCCAAAACAGAAGTTTAACAGTATTTTGCTGAAAGAGCCAATTCATAATGAAATGTGTAGTTTAAAATGCCTGATGTTACTTTTATCATAAACTGAATTTCTCTCAAAAGTTAAAGAAAAGTTACTTGAAATACAAAAAGGGGGAGCAAATACCTGCTGTTTTGTTAACTGTCCAGTTACTTTGCTGGGCTGTGATTGGAGGCGTTACAGTCACGACTGCCTCTTTAGCCAAGGCTGCCATTGCTGTATTAAGAGGGAAAAGCATCTTTAACAGGTGAGTCTTCTGTGTGCAAGCAATGGAGCTTAAGTTATTCTCTTTAGTCCTGCTTCTCATTTGTTTTTATTTTATTACATTTAAAATCCATGACCTGAGTAGAGTCATTTCCTGTTTCTCTTTTATTCTCTTGAATGTATTATAATTAAGGAATACAGAAAAACCTTCATTTTATTAAGATAAATTTAATATAGTCATATAATACTTCAATCAGTGTAGTAATTAAATGTATCAAGTGTTTTTTGGTTATATAAAGCAAGTACTTTGGATACCTCATCAAAAAGTATAAAACTTTATTTGAAGAAGGAAGATATATTCTGTAAGAAAATAAATAAATCCAGATTCCTCACTCTGATCTTTGTCATGAACAACTGTTAAACATCACCTCTCTAATTCACAGAAAATAAATGCTACTTACATTTTACACTGAAACAAAGTTAACAAAACAAAAGGCAATTACCTACCATTGAATAAAAGGTAGACTGCTGTCGGGACTCCCCAAGCCATTTTCTGTAGTTGCTTACGTGGCTCTTCTCCTCCTAGGCTGATGGGTGGAAGGTTTTTATTGAGCTCCCTGAGTCTTTCTTGCATTTATATTTCATGAAGCGTCATCTCCCAGTTCTTACCAATCAAAAAAATATGTACTCCTGGCAGCGGCAGAGAGCCTTCAGGCACTCACACTTGTTTGGGATAGCTGTGTTATCTTGCCATGTGATCAGGTTTTCTTCTGAAACACTGGTTTCCTGTTACCTGTGGGCATAATCGTGCATACAAAAGTACTTAAAACAACAAAAAACAAATGTGAATTCACAAAGCCTGCCCTGGTATGAACAGAAGGACATCAGCTATGCTAGGAACCTACAAAGGATTCCAAAGAAGATATTTGCAAATGAGGAAGCAGCCCAACCTATTAACATCAGACATAGTTGAAACTATAGTTACATCAGCTTTCAATGTAGACCATGAGTTCCATTGCAAATTGAGATATTCTGTAATTTGATTGCTGTAAATTTGTGAAAAACAGGTTTAACATCCCATTTTAGTTTCTACTAGTTTTACTACAAGTTCTGTAAATAAACGTCCTTTTAATAGTGTGACATTAATGCTTGCGTCATTCTGCCATTTAATTTTTTTTTTTTTTTTTTTGAGTAAGTGGAATGGGCCACTCATTTCCAAGAACAATGATTAGGTTAGAGAGGACCAATACAAAGTACCAAAAATTGTATTTGTATTAATAATATATTAATAATGGTAATATTAAAATTCTCCATTAACATAAAATTATGATGACACTGAGTTTGGGTCCATCTAATGAAAAAAAGTTTTAAACTTAATCCAATATTCAAATTTTTCTAAATGTGAATCTAGTAAGGATTACTAAATTGCATTTTAAAAGCCAAATTATGTAACTACTGCTGTTACATTTTCTGAATATAGGGGCTTCCTATAAACTTTCACTTGTTCCAAATCAGTATAAATAATTGATAAATACATTTTGCCAAGGTGTTGTGTCGTTCTATCTGGGATTTCAACTGCTCATATTTTCTGTACCTTGAAAACCTGCTCACGTCAAGATAGGTTATCATTTTCATCATGTCCACCCAGCAAATTAGATTTATCAGAAAGGATCCCTTTCAGTATTCAAATAGGAATTTGGCTTTAAAGATACTACACAAGAATGAGCTTGCTGAACTCATTATAACTTGGGCAATCACTTACCATGGAGTCATCATTTTCAAGTTAAGCAAATAGATAGTACTTTGCTCACGTTAAATGTCCCTACATTTTTTTATTTCTACTTCCATAGGTATTTTTTAACTTTACTATTAAACGAATTTTTACATAATATTTTTTCAAGGAAATGGAATTTTAATTACAAGTCAAATAATTTACTTTGCACCAATTTTGAGAGTTTAAGAACTCATTTACAAAAGATTAAATAAACTGTCACAACTCCTTCTACTCTTTCTGAAAGGAGATGTTAGGACTCACATCAAATATGTCTATATTTCTTTTAAAAATATTTATTTATTTATTTGAAAGGCAGAGAGAGAGAGAGAGGTCAGTCTGCTGGTTCACTACCCAAATGGCCACAATAACTGGAGCTGAGACGATCCGAATCCAGGAGCCTGGAGCTTCTTCCAGGTCTCACATGCAGGTGCAGGGGCCCAGAGACTTGGGCCATCTTCTACTGCTTTCCCAGGCCACAGCAGAGAGCTGGATGAGAAGTGGAGCAATTAGGACTTGAACCAGCACCCATGTGGGATGCTGGCACTGAAGATGGCAGCTTCACCATTATGCCACAACACTGGCCCCAACACATCAAATATTTCTAAGACTGAGACACAGAAGTACAATGATCGCCTTTGTAATAACTGTTAACTGTAGTTAGTATCTACTTTTGATTCTACAGTTTTTCACACACATCTTGACTTTTTCTTCAGTAATCTTCAAGTAAATCCATTGCTTAATATACAGTAAATAATCAATGAAATCTGTCTCCCTTCCCTCCACTTCCTTCTCTCCCTCTCCACCCTTCATTCCTTCTTTCCTTGATCCTTCCTTCTTTCCTTCTTCTGTAAGAAATGGGCAAATCATACATGGATGCTGACCTCAAAGAACTAAAGGGGGCAAGGGAAATGTACATACATAACTACAATACTGGGTTGATAGTGATAACTGCTATCAATTTGTATATACAGAAAATTTGAGGCTTTGTCAAACTCTCATGCCATTTTTATGGACAGATTCATTTGAACTTAATCAAGAAGATAATAAACATGTAGTGATAAGAGAAGGAATGCTAGATGATGCTGAGCACTGAAACAGTGAGGAGAGTGGGCTCTGACTCATGTCATGCCAGCAGGTCTTGTTTTGAATGTAGATTCTACCTTTACTATCCATTTGGTCATAGCTTAGACTTTTTCATAACCAAGGGGGTCAATTTCCTCATTTATCAAATGGAGACAGTCAATAGAAGTAAAGATGAGAAGGACAGAGAGAGATACAAACAGAGAGAACATTTATCACATAATAAGTGCTCAATTAAGATCACTGTTACTATTGAATGAGTGTAAACAGCGAGTATATGGTGATCATCAAGAAAGTTAGGTGGTTGGGGCTGGAGTTGAGCAACAGGTTAGGCTGCCACTTGGGACAGCAGCATCCCATATCAGAGTGCTGGTTTTAGTCTGGGTTGCTCTGCTTCTGGTCCAACTTCCTGCCAATGTGTCTGTGAAGGTGGCAAATGGTGGTCCAAGTACCATGTGGAAGATCCAAATGGGAGTTTCTGGCTACTGGCTTTCGTCTACCCAGCCCTGGCTGTTGCAGCCATTTGGGTAGTGAACCAGTGGATGGAAAATCAATCTCTCTCTCTCTCTCTCTCTCTCTCTGCCTTTCAAGTAAATACATACATATACACACATACATACATATTTTTAAAAGACTATTGTAATACAGTAGAGATACAATACAGCTGGGTCAGTGATGCAATTACTAGGATTGACTAGATGTCACAGTAGGGAGATCTGCTACTGCTTATCAGATTCTTGATACAGCACCATTAGCATTAGAGAGATGGAAGTCAACAGATACATGGAGCAAATTCTCCATCAATGGACTTACATGACTCTTTGCTAAAACTGGGCTTAGTGGATCAAGGTCAAGGCCCAATCAAGAAGTGGGTTCATGGGCTGGCATTAGATGCCATAGTGAAGATGCCAGTTGCAATGCCCGTATCCCATACTGGGAGTGCATAGATGTGCTTTTTTTCTTTTAAGATTTATTTTATTTATTTGAAAGACAGAGTTACATAGAGAGGTAGAGACAGAGAGAGAGGTCTTCCCTCCACTGGTTCACTCCCCAGATGCTGCAACAGCCGGAGCTGCACTGATCTGAAGCCAAGAACCAGGAACTTCTTCCAGGTCTCCCATGTGGGTGCAGAGGCCCAAGCACTTGGGCCATCTTCAACTGCTTTCCCAGGCCATAGCAGAGAGCTGGATCAGAAGAGGAGCAGCCAGGACTAGAACTGGCACCTAAATGGGATGCCGGCCCTTCAGGCCAGGGCTTTAACCTGCTGCGCCACAGCGCCAGCCCCTAGATGAGCTTCTGATCCAGCTTCCTGCTATTGTGTACCCTTAGAATCAGCAAATGATAGCTCAAGTACTTAGATCCCTTCCACCCACATACAGGACTCAGATCAAGTTTTGGACTCCTAGCTTCAGCCTTGCTAAACTCTGTTTCAGCCCTTTGCAGAGTAAATCTACATTTGGAATATTTCTGTGTATCTCTGTTTCTTTCTCTCTCTCTGCCTAAAAAATACAAATAAGTATTTTTTAAAAGAGAAAATTTAGAGTAACCTAATTAAACTTTAGCGAACTAGGCATCTTTGTCATCATATAAAAGATAAAGTTCATTCATTCATATCCTGACTCTATAGATGTTGGATTCTATAAAAGAGTTATATGGTGGCATTGGACAGGTGCTTGCAGACAGATTTGCTCCTGCTCTGTCTGTATCTGCCAAGTATCTGTTAAGATGACGCTGATGAACTAATGGGAATTAACCAATAATACAAAGCAAGGGTGACAGTCAGACTGAAATGGGAAACTTGGGTTGTAGAGTGGTGGAAATACAGCTGGATAAATATGCAAAAATAGATTACAGGAATCCTTAGTAAATCAGAATTTATATTGTACTCTGTAAGTTATGGGAATTGTAGTCAGAAGCAAGAAGATGTTCTCATCTGTCAACATAAGGAAGGTGTAAAGAGGGGTTTGTTTGCTTTCGGAGCAGAGATAATATGTTCAGTTCAAGACATGTTGAGTGTGAGGTGATGACATAATAAGAGTTCTGAGGTAATGTCAATGGAAGAGGATAGGCATTCATTTCAAGTAAAATTTAGGAGCCATGAGCATATATTAACCACTAAACTATATTCTTAAAGATATATGTATTTACCTGAAAGGCAGGGTGAAAGAGAGAGAAGGATGTGGGAGAAGAGAGAGAGATCAATCTAGCATCTGTTGGCTCAACCCCAAATGATGGCAACACCCAGGTTGACCCAGGACAAAGCCAGAAACCAGGAAATCCACCCAGGTCTCACACAATTGCTCTTCCAGGTACATTAACACAAAGCTGGATTGGAACTAAAACATCCAGGACTCAAATTAGCCCTGTGCAGTCATTTTGTTTGTTTGGGAGTTAGGGACTTTAAAAATTAATGAGGCCTTCTCTGAAATGTTTGCTTGGGAGCTTTGAATTTAAATTTTAAATTTCTGTCAGTGTTGTCAGAGAAAGATTTGTCTAGACTGATGAAGGAATGAATATACAATGGAATATTTTCTTTTTTTAAAAAAAGATTTATTTATTTATATGAGACTCAGATTGAGAGAGAGGGAGAGGGAGAGGGAAAAGAAGAGGGAGAGGGAGAGGGCGAGAGAAAGAGGTTTTCCATCTGCTGGTTTACTCCCCAAGTGGTCGCAATGGCCAGAGCTGCACTGATCCGAAGCCGGGAGCCCGGAGCTTCTTCCAGGTCTCCAATGTGGGTGCAGGGACCCAAAGACTTGGGCTATCTTCTACTGCTTTCCCAGGCCATAGCAGAGAGCTA